AGCATATATACATACACGCCCACACACGCATCCACATACATACACACACATACAAACACACACCCATATAAATATTACTTATATGCCTTTGTTCAAAATACATGTCTATAATAAATACATGCAAGCGTACATAAATACATATATACATACATACATACACCCACAAACATACACACACATATTTAATACTTATATGCCTTCGTACAATATACATGTATAATTATATACTTTGCTCTATATACGCCCACTATTATAAAATTTATATAGAATAACTGCTTTTTATTTAGAAGTTGATCCTTCAATAGTGTTGATAATTTTTTTTTTTAATTTTTAATAATTTTTTTATTAGCAATTTGCTACTTTTTCAAAATAAATAGTAATTGATGAATGCTTATTTTTGTTATTTTAAATACTTACCCATTCGTTGCTAAGCGCTGCTTAGAGCAAGTAATTGGATCTCTACCAAGTGTATTTAAACTGAAAACATATTATGAAATATTAATAAAATAAAGTGAAAGCCTGAGCAGGGTTGGGTACTTACCTGTTTTTTCTGCGGTTAGCTGTCATGAGTGGCTTTTGCGAAATGTGTCAATTCCAGCAGATGTCAAACCCAATCAACGGGCATAAATAAGTCATGGCATAGTTGATGGCGGTGGGGCACTTGGCCCAAACGAACTGGACAATCGATATGCTTGGCCATTGGGCCAGTTGCGTGCAGCTAATTAGTGTCTGTGACAATTGGCTCCAAAAGGTGTTGCTCACAAATACGCATCAACTATTTATTAAACTGTTACCGACCGACCGAGGGGTCAAAACTGTTAACATTTGACGCTGGCAAAATTATGACGATGGCTGCGAGACACTGCGCTGCGTGGTCATTGTGCGTGCCGCGCTGCAATCAATACTAATTATAGTAATCAATTTTAATTAGAGCTTTTGATAGACTTACGCACAGACGAGCGCCAGGCTCTGGCCATCCACCACCAGCCATGCTCAGTGCCGAGGGCTGAATGGGGGCTGCAATTGACGTTGTCAAAGCGTAGCCAAGTGCAGTTCCACAACAAAGACATAATCCAACAGCGCCGACTTCACATTAGAAAAGAGACCTGTCCCAGGCACACACACACCCACACAGAGAGAGAGCCTTCAGATTGAGGCCATACAAAGCAGATTTTTGCTTATGTCAAAACTCGAACAATGGCCAAGTGGCTTTACCCAAAATTGAGCCTGACAGCGGCCTCTGATGGCAGACGCCCAAAACGCCCCCGCCCCCGCCCAAGCCCAAGCCCAGCCGCCTGCCCTGCCAGTTGACTGGCCTATCCATTGCATATGCATGCCCCGCACCACCTTCCAAAATCCAGCCTGATAGACAGGCCAGCACATAGCATCCAAATTCCATTATTTGGATTAGACCAATTGTTGCTGGGGCTCTATTGTTGGGCCTGCCTGCATCACGTTGAGCAGATTATTTCTTTCATTCAAAAATTTGCCCATAAATATCAAAAAAGTACTTGTCAGTTGTGTTTGTGTGCAGGCAGCTCATGTTGATCACGAAATTGAAAATAATCGAAATTAGAATGGACCTAATTACGTTTCATATGGGGTTTGAGCTAATTTGATTTAAATACAGTTCCAAAGGGGCTTTAAATTGATTTATCAATTTAATATGCACAAATAAAAGATTAAAATTGGTTTAAATTTGAGCAGATTCGGCTTAAAGTTGATAAAATGAACTGAATTTGACAAAATAAATAAAGCAAATATTAAATGTCGACAAGAGCAAAGTGGAATAGTAATAGTAATCAAAAAATAAATTAAAATCAAAAAAAAATAACATTTCTTACGAATCCCGAAGATCATAAAACAATATATTGTAGAGAAAATCTACATCCCAGTGCTCGAATACCTTTTCACAATGTTTCCAATTCAGATTGAGAAAAACAAGAAACGAATACAGAACAGAGGCTCAAGAAAAAAATAGAGGATGTAAATTTGTATTTAAAAATAATTGTAAATGAAATCCAATTTTACAAATTTTTATATATTTTATAGGGCAGTAAAAAACCATCTCCAATCTCGTACAATTTCATGTAATGTTTCCATTTTACATTGAGGTAAATGACCTACAAATTTTTGGCTTGGAACAAAGCAATTTTGTAACGAACACAACAAGTTCATGTAAAATCAACAACATGGCCAGAACAGGGCCAAAAGCAGCTGCTGCAACTATTAACATCAAATGACTAGCCTAATTTATGTGCCTAGCTGCACAGACACACACACACACATACACACACATAGACAGATTGTGAGTGTGAGTTCGAGTACTCGCATTCCATATGGGTAAACACATCTATTCAGAGACTAAAACACGCCGCAATGCCGTAACTTCTGCTCCAGAATTGATGAAATGACAGTAAAGCGTAGCATGAGGTGGGGGCAACTACGAGAATCAAATAGGCAAAAACTGACTACAGGCAGCACACCAGGATCCGGGCCTGAAATTGCTTTACACAATCGAAACGCACGAAATGACAATATAAATCGAGGGGCGGAACTTATTTGGCAAAAGACTCGAAATAGGCCGAGCCTGAACCACAAAACGACATAACAACAATGAGCCTGAGATGGAGGATGAGCTGAAGCCAGACTCTGGGGTTGATGAGCAGCAGGCTGCGGGGCAAATAGCAGTTGCAGACCAACATGCTACTGAATTGGCCAAAATTAACGCAACGTTAGAAAAGTTTTTGCGGAAATTGCGTAACTACACATTAATGAAGAAAAATTGCGTAAGGGTGCGGCAGACCCAGTTCCCTTTCAGGCCATTGAAAAGCCGAAACTAACCAACAAAAAAAACTTTTTTTGGCCCGGCAAATTGCATTGGAAATTGGGCGACACTTTAGCCATAAAACGGGCACGTGATTTATGCCAATTGAGCTGCCGCCCAGGTAAACAGCTCCATAATGAACTGAACGAGCAGGGAGAGGCAATGGGCATGCGGATATTAGGAGGAGGGGCAGCAAGCTGATTATCCACAGTAGTTTTATAGGTTTTATGGAAGGTATGCTGCCTGGCCAACAGCTTGCTTTGATTACGCCCCATCATTGTCCACTGATCATCATTTATTATGCCTTCCGGTCCCTGCTAAAGCCCAAAGTTGTTCCCTACCTTTAGGCTAATTTTACGTTTCGCATTCGTAAATTTTTATGAGCATCATTAAAAGTGCTCGACATCTTCTTTTTCTAGTTGAGCTAAGTATTTATGAGCACGGCCCGGCCAACTACTTATAATTATAATTATCATTTGTCATCCGCACTCTAATTAATTGTAAAGTTTTCCGTTTCAAGCCCTCCAAAACAGCCAATTAATATTGTCACAGATGTCGCTGGCTGCAAACTCAAACTCGGCCAATGATTAATACATCAAAGTTTTCTAATTGAAATGAAAAGAATAAAAACAACATTTACGCGCAACGAGAGATTTCCTCCATAAAGATATAAGTTTGCGTTTTAATGGAATAATTAAAAGGGCGGCTGTGCTTCTTCTTTCCATAGCCCCACATTGTAGCAAATGTTATCTGGATTAACTTCGGTGCTTATAGTCCGATCTTTATGGAATTTTCAGGGCATACATATGACATCTCAATGCACATTTAAATATGTGTTTTTTGTATCGATTTTGTGGGGAATATATACATTAAGTAAAATATTCTGGTTCTGTCCTACATATCCCAAATTAACTGTCTCTAGCTCTTATAGGTTTCGAAAAATGAGAAGAAATAAGATTGTCGATTTCGATTTTTATCGATTTTGTAGAATTAAGGCAATTTATCGTTAATTGCAAAAACTAAAACTCAATCTTTGTTTTACTAGCTTTTATAGTCTATGAGATGGAAACTTTTAAACAGACAGACGGAGCTGACTAGATCGTCTAGTAAAATATAAACCCGTTAGGGTTGGAGAATAAGTCTTTTGCCAATTCCTAACTAACACATAGTTTATGGACTTAGGCTATTAAATACTCTGGAATAACAAGTAGAAAAAGTCTGAACTTAAGCTATTATCCAATTTTCATAAAGCTAAACGTGATGTATATCTCGTTTTACCAATAATCGGTGTAATAAAAAACTTTTTTTGTTAAGACCGAACAAATAATATACCCCACCCTCATTTATATATATTTATAACTGATTGTATCGACTGTAATTGAACTTTACCTTTGCTTGAAATAAGCTCGCGTGACAGTACACTTGCCCCATAGGCAAGATCTCAGCTATGCCATAATCTTCACTTATAATAGCCATTCAATCCAGTATTCCCTGATTGTCAGCTGTGAGAGGATGGAGTGGGGGGAGGGATGCTCTTAAGCCACAATGCCGTGCTGGCCCCTCAGTTGAGCCTAGATATTAACGCCCACGGCCACGCCCACGCCCACTCCTGCATAGCATGACTTAGAGTATGGTGCCTGGCGTGTCAGGCAGTCTCAATTTATGAAATTAGTTTTAATAATATTAATATCATCACATGAAAGAGCAGTTACAATGAGTCTCTCCGGCTCTGCGTAAGCCGGCTTTGGTCTTAGCTTTTTGGCCATAGTTAAACGCGCGTGCAAGGAATTTTGGACAAAAGATGCCAGGGCAACCAGCAGATAGGGCTGCTCCAGCAGCCACCCCGCCCCCTCACACAACTTTCACTTGAAGCTTACGCTCATTGTTTGCGCTGCGTTGCCATTGCCAACGTGGCGCCGCTCCCGGCCCACTCCTGCTCCGGATGCGGGCATCGCATCTGCCCACAAGTTGTAAAACTTTGCTTTTGTTTAAATTTTGCGTGCGGCGGGTGGCCGGAAATTTGCTTATCGGCGCATTTCAGTGACTGCTGCGGCGCTTTTTGCCCCAAAACCAAAGTCAATAGAGAGATTAGCGTCAGGCACAGATCAGTGTGTGTGTGTGTGTGTGTGTGCGAGCTGTGCTAATTGAGCGTCGGGTCATGGCAACCAGCAGCTTATATCAATACCGACGGCTTTATTCAATATGCAATACGGCCGCGCCCCCAACCCAAACCAGATATACATGAAAAACTTAGAGCAAGCCCAAGCCCAAGCCTCCGCCACGTCTGTTGTTGTTGTTGTTGCCGCCGCCCAGGCCTAGGGTTTGTCCTACGCCGCCCAGGCCCAGCTTATTTCCCACGCCGCCCACCGTCTGTCCCACGCCGCCCACCGTCTGTCCCACGCCGCCAGCCAGCTGGCCCAGCAGTCCGCCCAGCGCGGCGCAGCTCGTGGAGGTAAGCGGTGACAGCGAGGCGCCCAGCACGGACAGCTCACAGAAGCGGAAATCGGAGGCCGCCTCCAGTTGGGTATCCACCTTGATGAAGGGCGTGCCGCCGCCCGTGATGCTCTGGAACAGCTTGGAGGTCACAGCGCCGTCCTTCTTCTCACCCTGCTTGGCGAACTGCAGCAGCATATCGATGAGATTCTTGCGCACCAGCAGATCATCGTCGCTGGTGAGACGCGTCTCCGGCAACGGCTCGCCGAATATATCATTCGCATCGAACATGTAGCCTAGCTCATCGCCATGGGCCACCAGCTCCGGCTTATCCTGCGCCTGCTCCGACACAATGGGCAGACCACGCAAAAAGTTAATTCCCTTCGACTTGGTGCCATTGTACTCGAAGCTGTACATGTAGGCGGGCGCCAGTTTGGACCACACCTGTGTGGTCAGCACCGCGGGCAAATTGAACAGCACGTCTGTGGTGGACTCCACCACCTTGGCCAGCACCTGATCCAGGTTCAGTGCTTGCGGCACCTTCCACACATCCTGCAGCGTGGGCGTCAACACGTTGGTCAGACCCGGCAGCACCGGCTTGGCAATGTCACCAGTCAGCTTATCGATGCGCAGGAAGCCGGTCAGCTGCTTCAGTGCGCCCTGCAGCGAGCCCAGAAACTGCTCGACCGAACCGAAAACCTTATTCAACGTATCCACCGTCACAGAGTTGGCCGTCTCGTGCTTGGTCACGCCCGTCAGCAGCGGTATGCCCGTGTAGTTGCCGCTGCGCAGTTGCTGCTCCGGCTCACCGATCAGCAAACTGGGCAACGAACGGTAATCGTCCTCCGCCTCGATGTGTGGCTGGAAGCCCGTGTTGCCAGTAAGACCCTTGACCAAAGCTCGCCCTGCCAGACGCTCCGTTTGCACCTTGGCATCGTTCTGAATGATCTCCTCAGCGGATTTCTAGGAAGTGACATAAAAATGAACAGAAGTGGATGGTCATTTTAGAGACTTAAAAAATAAAATTAAAAAAAGATATGTATATTTTCACTCGGCTTGAAAACCAATGAGCACTGCAATTCAACTATGTAAAAGAGTACTTAACAGCTGTAATGCGGAATCTAGCATAAACTGCAATTTAGGTGCATGTTAGTCAACTGTTAATTAGTTACATATGTTTTAAACATTAAAGAACTTAACAGCTGAAAATCTGCATTAAACATAAATTTCATGTTAAGTGCATGTTAGGCAACTGTTAATTAGTTGCATATGTTTTAAGCAGCTGCAATGCGGCATCTAGCATAAATAGCATCTTAAGTGCCTTCTAGGCAACTGTTAATTAGTTAACAGAAAAATCAAACTGTAAACCGAGCGATAACAGATTGCCATGGATCTTACTGTACCAGTTTTGATTAAGTATATGATAAACAAGAAATAAAAAATAAAAAAATATACATATATTTCCGCAGGACCTGAAAAACAATGAGCATTACAAATGAACTAAGTTATAAAGTACTTAATAACTGCAAGCGGAAACAAAAATAAACTACATGTTAAGCAACTTTATAAAGCTTTATAAAATGAATTTATGTGTAAGCATATGATATAGTAAAATCATAGCATAGAAAACTAATTTTTCAAGTCAAAATTTTAACAGAAAATTGTTAAGAACTGTATGTTAACATTAAATACTTAACATTTCCCACAATTTCAAAATGTAAAAGCGAAAGTTCGTATCAAGTAGTAATTGTCATAAAAAATCTGCTACTTTTTATAGCTTGGATTTGGCTTAACCATTTTTGCCCTAACTCCCCCCCGTACTCACCGCTCGCATACAGTTAACAATTTCCAGTTCATTGCCAGTGGGACAGTTGTTGATCTTGGCCACCTCCTGCACACTCTGCACCGGCTCCTGATCCATGGCATACTGCGACAAGGCTGTGCCCGACATGGCCACTACACCGTGGACATCTCCACCGCTGCGCGCCGCCCGCGACATGGACAAGTACATGGCACTGGCGGCGCCAGAACCATGTCCAATGGCCTGCACCTGCTTGGGATTGCCGCCAAAGTTGGCGATATAGTCGGTGACCCAACGCAACGCGGCAGCCAGATCGAACATGGCCAGATTTCCGTCAAACTCCTTGGTGCCATCGCCCAAGATGCCCAGCGAGCCGAGTCGATACTGAGGTGCCACGACAATAGCGCCCTGTTGGGCCATGGGCGTGGCATCGTATTGAGCAGCGGAACCGTAACGAAAGCCACCCGGATGTATCCATACAAATACCGGCAATCCCGTCGTCTCATCCGGCATCTGCGGCGTGTACACGTTCACCAGCAGGCAATTCTCATCGCCGATGATGCGCCTCGGCTGCTGCGGATGCGGCTGTATGCAGGGTGAGCCATGCCGAGTGGCATTTATATCCCCGCTTAGGCGCTTGTAGACGGGACGCGAATATCGCAGCTCACCCACCGGCGGCTCAGCGTAGTGTATGCCCAAAAAGCTGTAGATGCCCGTGTTGGGATTCCGGTAGCCCTCAATCCGGGTATCGCGATTGAAGACGCGTGCAAATACAACCGGATCATCAACGGGCGGTGGCTTTGCACTTTTGCCACCCACAATGCGCTTCACGCGACGATGCGACGACGATGTTTCCGACCCCGACTCCGATTCCAATTGCAATTCCGATTGCAGCTGCTCCAAGGTCAGCGAGGCGACGACCAAGTGCAGCCCCAGCAGCAGCGATAAAATGTTCCGCTTCGCCAATGTTCGCATTGTGTTTCGCTCGATTGCCAGCTTGGAACTGGGCAACTGCTTCAGTTGCCGGCGCTCTCCAAGCTCAGCGACTCTTAGCAAGGCCGGCAACTTGCCCGGCTTGGCGATAAAAAATTAAATAAATCAACAACAACAATTGCGTTGAGCTTCCATAAAATTAAAGATTTGCCTTTGTGCTGCTCACGATTAGCCAGTAGCTATTTCAGACTATATTTATACGCGATTGTTTATACTTATATGTGGATAGACTATAGAGAGTTTTCATTTAACATTCTAATCACGTTCCATAGAACTACAAAAATACCAAATTCAAACAGCGTCTTCTTGCGATTAAATCGTAAGGTCGCAACGACTGCTAAATGCACTATAAGCAGAAATTTATGAATCATATTTTATGGGGAATCTCCGAGCATTTAAATGAGAAGAAAATGTTTAAATTGTTTTAAATATTCAAGGAACAAGCTCTTAAGTACCCACTAAAAACATTTTTATTTGTAGGAATTATTTTAAAATATATAACATAAAACATAAATCCTATATACAAAGTCTACCTTTCATTTAATAATGTATTATTTTATAATATTATTTGAAAAATATTATCTATATAGAAAAAGATAAATATACTTTTGAATGCAATTCTTGAGTTTATGATATTTAAACTTTTTTATGTAATTCAACATTAAACATTTTTCAAATAGCATCTGGTCACAAAGTTTTGTCAAAATAAAACCATTATCTTTTAACATATTGAAAAAGAAATCAATACAATCCAATAAAAATAAACTAGTTATTCCTGAAAACGACAAATTACAAATATAATAAAAATTTGACATACATTTAAAAACAAAGAACAATAAACTCTCCGCTTTTGAAGACATTAATGTATAAAAACAAATATTTGTAAAAATATATATATGTATAAAAACAATATACTCCTTAATGCAAAATTATAATACGCGTAACAAAGCACTTATAAGATTCAAAAGCCCCGACGGAACTATGTATAGTTACACAACCTTGTGGCATTCGAGATGAACATCAAGTTTTCTGTCTTGGTCGACAGTTTCGACTTACTCATATTTCATTTCAGCTGATTTAATGTATGTGAAATGATAATCGCTTAAATATTTAATTATTTTATAACAGCCGCTTCTTATCGCAGCCCCGCCCCGCACCGCAAGCGCCCTACACTACATAAAACTGGTCCGTGGGGTTTTCCCACAGGCCCAGTATTCCTCATTCAATTGTTGTTGTTGTTGTCGATTGTTGAGTGCGCTGAATAAAGTTAAGACAACAAAAAAAAAAATATATATATATATGTATATAGGCATGAGCGCAATAATAATGCGATTTTAAAGCCTCAACATGAACTCTCTGGGCGGGCGGCTGCCAGCCCGTCGGATTAGTCGTACTTTACAGCTTTGCTGCATTATCTGGGCAGATGAATTATATGCTCAACATATTTACGACTAAACACTGTCGCACTGTCACGCATGCGAGTGGGCCAAGCGGAAACGGAAACGAAACTGGCAAATATCATGAAACGAGTGCCTGTTGTGATTTTAAGTTTCTTGACCCCAGCCCGTGCCCCCTTTGCTAAAGATGAAAGAGCAGCCCGGGATTAGGCCAGTCAGACGGCACGCAATGCCAGCCACAGTCTGCCACATGAATCTCAATGCTCTTGTTTAGACGGCGACCACGTACGTCCACTGATTTGTCTCTGCAAGTGGCGACTCCGACTACGTAACCAACCCCCTCGCCAGCCACCATTTCTATCTCTCATGTGCGACATGAGACACACAATGCGCAAAATGACATTTAAAGTTACGACAATATAATTAAGTAGACTGCTGGGAGTTGCTGCTGGCAAGGAATAATTATATATATATACTCGCATGGATGTGGCAGCAGCAAGAGGCATGCAACACTTTTGTGCTACACACACACACACACACACACACACACACACACACAGTGTGTGCCACGTCGTAGCAGTTCCAGCTTGCCAGCTCGGACAGTCACGCCTACACATTTAACGAGCTTTATCTTTTTGTATACCCTGTTACAAAAAAATTACTGAAAAAGGGTAACATTGAGTTGTAACATGTGAATATTGGCTAATGACATATACAACTATTATTATATTTTTATGCTTGATCAACACTGGCAAGGAAAGTAAGTAGTAGGTGTAAATATAAACTAATTACAAGGTATCTTTCAAGCACGTTCTGCATTGACTTACTTCCGCTTGCCTTTGTTTTCAGTTGCTGCTGCATAGAGTCTAGTCTTTAAAAAGTTATTAATCTTCAGCTATCGAGTAAATATTTTACTTTTAATTGAGTTTTAAATGTAGCCTCCGACAATTTGCATAAAAGCTGACAACAGGCCAAAATTTTCTGTTATCCTTGGACCTGCGTGCTTGCTAAATATGCACGTCGCATACACCCCATGGAAAAACAAGAGCACACATATCAATCATGCAGGTTGTGAAAGCAGCTGCTAAAAGTCATAATTACATGCAAGATTGAATTTTAATTTGATTGGCCGTCACGCAAGCAAACGAGAGCGCAAGGCGTAAGAGTAAAAATTAATTAGACATGAGATACCAAGTACGTGAGTTAATAGCTATGCCTTTTTCTATGACTACTCAGTGTTGGTAAACTGGCGATGGCACTATCGATATCATATCAATATCGATTATGAATGTTATCGACAACGAGAATGCAAGCCCAATGAACATTTTCGTTGGTTCTGTTCACGGTTTGAACCAATGCTTTTACTTGCAGTTTGCTACGTAAGCGTGGTTTGGGTAAGCGTGGTTTGGGTATAGATAATAATTCACATTTAAAGGATTTCAATCAAATGTTATAATATATTATTATTAAGAAAACATCTCCCAACGTGAAATATACTTAATTTACCGAACGTAGTATATCATGATTCGTGCTAAACATGAGATTTCCCCGCATCATCCACGGCGCGCTTTTATTAATTGCTTTGCCTGTTCCGTTCCATCTTTCAAGAAAACTTCTGCCTAATTTTTCTTCAGTTTTTTCATCTTTTTTCTTTGTGCCACACGCAACACGTTTTGGATTTTTCCAGCTCACGATGCTGCTTTACTGTTCTGTTCTTGCTTTTCTGCTGCGAAATAGCGTGTGCTGAGCCCATGACTGGGATCTGGGATCTGTTTTCCAGCTGCTGTTGATGCGTTTCTAATGTGCAAAATATTAATTATAAAATAATAATTGAATTGTGTGTTGGCCGTCTGGCAGCTCTGCTGAAAGGTGAATAATACCATGCACAATCCGGACGGTTATTGTTTAGATATCCTTTACACGCCAAGAGTTCATTAGCAGTTCGAGGGAAACAACAAATTGTGCACATCTGTTGGATTTCATAAATTGAAATTAGCTGCTACGTAGATTACTATTTAATAGGATCAACAAATAAGTCTCATACCAGATTAAATATAGTTAATGCAAACGGCAGGTGCTCACCAGAGTAGAAAGATAAAAAAATTATTATTATTTAAGCTGGATGACTTAACAAATTAAATAAAGGTAAGCTTAGTTATAAATAAATAAATATTATAATATATAATAAAAAATAAAATACCAATAAGTAAATAGACAGCTCTTATTAAAATATTCAGTGGTTGTATATTTACGTTCTATATATTCTATTACCTCTACAAGTATTTTACTTCTCTTTATTATTATTAAAACAGTTTCTCAAAGTTTTTTTAAGTAATTTCCCTGCCTAAGGTCTAGAACTGCGTTAATAACAACAGCTAAATGCGATGATTCTTCAATTCTCATCTCATTTCTTTTATGCAAAACTAAACCCATTCATTGCTCTTAACACAGATTTCATTTTAATAAATTCTCATAAGAAGCCAGAAATTTTGGTCAGCAGCCGCAATCATTTTTTGTGGCCTTCGTTCTGGCCAAAATTCATTTTAGTTTGTTGGGAAAACCGAGAAAGCTGAGAAAACTGGCCGCAATGGGCATAAACGAGAAGAAAAGTGCGGTTACAATGCCTGTCAATGGCAAGAACTAGCAGGATATGCAACTTTTGAGCTGGAAGACCGCAAGAATAATGAGCTAATAGAAGGAGTTCGGCTAGTTAATACCCTGTACTCAAACTTTGCGAAAATAGCTTTATCTGCAGAAAATAATATCTTGTCGAACTTTTACTATGGAATTTGTTTCGGCTGTTAATCAATTTTCAGTATAAATAAATCATTTAAGGAATATGGATATATATCTAACCTTAATCTATTAATAGTTTTACAGAGCATATACAAATAGACTTGGTTAAATTCCATAAATAGCAGATGCTGCGCAAGAGAAGTTATTTTACATGGAATTGTTATGCTTGTTTTACTACTTAGAACCTTACAGGGTATCAAAGAAACAAAGCAAATTGAAATGAATGCCATGTGGCAAAAGTTTTGTGGCAACTACAACAACAACGACAACAACAGGAACAACAACGGCAGCTCAAGTGCAACAATGGGCCACATAAATGACAAAAGCAATAACATAATCCTTTTGCTGCCGCCCCCTAAAAACTTTTGTGGTTCAATTTGAAAAGGAAGCACGCACACAGATACCCCCCCCCCACACACACACACACACAAAGCAATACACTTACTCACACAACGCATGTAAAATTTTAATTAAACTAATGAAATTGTACGGCCAAGGACATAACTTGGCGAATAAACAAAGAGCAAAAAGAAACAAAATTGGGATACGGATATGTTCTGGCTCTCAGTTCGGGTAGCGATTCCTTTTTTTTCGGGTTCGACTGAACATTAAAAATTAACTGGCGGAATAATCGAAACTGTTAAAACGTTAATTTAACACTTAAACAAGCTAAACCGCAGAACAGCCTCAACAGTGTCCTGTTCAGCTGTAACTGTAACTGTAGCTGTGTGTGTGTGTGCGTGTGTGCGTATGTGTGTGCATTCCAATTGGCAGCTTCTGTGTGTCACATTTAATGCAAGAGCGGAATTCCATTAAACGACAACCACAGGCAGCAA